CGCGGGGCGGAGGCCGGGCCGGGTGGGGGGCTGGAGCCTTCCCCGGGAGCCTTCCCGGCTTCCGCGCGCTGCGGAGTCCCGCCTGGCCCGCGGCCGTGGTCTGGCTCTGCGCATCGGGAGAAGGCCTGGGACTCGCCTGGAGCTCCCCTTGTTCTGCCGGCGCCCGCCTCTGGCAGAGGGAGGGCTGGGGAGGAAGGCACCCCTTCTCCATCGTGTCCCGTGCGCTTCTAGCGATATTTAGCGTTTAGTCAGTTTACTTACCGCGCTCTCATTCTGGAGCTTTAATATCTTGTCTTTTAATCCCGAGACTAAATAGCTACATCTTAACGGATGGTAACTTCAGGTTTTCTGGATCCGATGGTGTTTTGCTTAGGCACACTTCCAGGGGAGTAGATGCATCTGTCTCTGAGAAACTTTTCAAGTGTTGTAGATGCCGTGTGTTGGCACCTTTACTAACCTCATTCAGTTGCTTTCATGGGGAAAAGGAAAGCTTTACATGTATGAGGTTATAAGCACCCTGATGGGTGACTGTATAGCCTGTGGGAAACTGCACTGGCCGAATCCATGAGATGGCTGCTTTTGGTCTTGTATCTTCTTTCTGGTGTTGTTTAAAATACCTATGTGGCTTGTTTCCTTCTGAGCAAAGTGATCACTGTAGCCTTGGAGACAGGCAAGTCATAATTTGTCCTATGTAATAAAGGAGAACTAGTGTAATTACTAGTTATTTTAATGGTAGCTGAGACTGACTTATTCAGTTACTTTAACATCTAGAATGAATGTACTGCATTTTTATGCCTAATTGTGTCCCTGGTACTGCAGTTCTAATGTCTAGGTTGTACTCTGGTTCCAGAAATTAGGACCTAGGAATCCTTGCATCAGATGCTTTCTGTCTCAGCTGATCATAGGACCGTAGAGCAGTTCATCTGGAGTTTCCCAGTTTGGATTTAGTTTAAGTGTCAGTAAAATTATTTTTCTTGCATAATACATTTGTTCTGACATTGAGGTGATACCGGGAATATCTAGTATAGCAAAGTTACATCTCTGGATTGTTTTATGTAGCAGACTGACAGAGAATAAAAATGGTAGCAGATATCACAGTTAAATTGTCACTGTTAGATCTTCTGGCTAGTGTATGTGTGAGAGTGAGTGAGCGCACATGCCTTCCAGAACTTCTGTACATCTGGTTGTTAGGAGCCAAATGGTTTCTTATTGACATTAAGTTGGTGAAACTTTTTAAAGCCAGTCATCCTACAAAGTTGAGAAAGGTGAAGACGCATGAAGATAAATTTGTACCTTGAACTGGTATAGATGTTACAAAACTTTGTAATCTCCTTGGTAGAAACATCTACTGTCTGAGTGCTGCTCAGAAGCGTGGCACAGCAGACACAATACAGGCCCTATTTGCAAGGGGAAACAGTCCATAAACTTCTATTTGCTTTATTAAAAATCCTCCTCTATATATAATCCTACTAGATTTCTAAAAGTTCTTCCGGCCCTGTAGCTTTATGAAGCTCCAGGAAATAATATTAGAGAATGCTGTGTTGTGAGCAGCCAGAGGGTTTAGGTGCAGATTGGTCTTAATAATTTTGCACTCCATCGTAGACATCGACTCAGTGTAGTGTAAGGATACCTGAACTAACTTTACCAATGCAGAGTTGCTATCTGCTTTGTAGACATGCCTGTATTTATTCACACTAATGAAATGTGATTAATTTGTGGCCTCTGTTAGAATCCCCAGCATTTGCCACTGTCACAGCAGTTTAATGTTGGCTTCTGTCTTGAGAGTTGTATTTGGACTATGAAGCTTTGATTGTCCCCCCTCCCCCCGTTCTTTCACTTGCTCATTTTCTGTAAGTTGGGATTTTGACTGTGTAGGCATTTGAAATAACGAGATGTGAGAAAGAACTGTGTAGTCTACAGAAGAGAAAACCCTATATGGGAATTTGGCTCTGAGAGCAGAAACAGGAGGGAAACTTAAAACCATTTCTACACAGGAAAAACATAGGGTTTGGTGTATTTGGGCTGGGGGCTACAGTCCCTTCAGTAGAGGGCCTGCAACTTTGTAAAGTTTTTCAGTGCTTAAATGGTGTCATAATGCTTCGACTAATCAAACGTACTGATTAGAGAAAAGGAATGAAGAAATTTCTGAGATGTCTAGCTCAGAAAGGCAAAACACACAATAGCCTGGTTATCAGGCTGGTTAGTTTGTATCATGATTTGTTAAAGTGCATGTGACCTAAGACTCCTGCTTAGTTTTCGTTGAAGCTCTTGATGAACAAAGTATTTCAGGCATAGACCTCCTTCTCAGGTCGTGGAACTCTCATATTAGTTTCTTGAGAGCAGTTAGCATGTTATGACTTAGGTTTGCAGAAGCTTGGCTTGACCTGACTGGATGGAGTGGACCTTTAGAGCAGTGCTCTGTTCAACGCCAGCTACATTGTGTTTTCAGCATTAAAACTATCTCCTGCGTCCAGAAGTTGTCCTTGTGTGTTAACTTCAGTTTAGTGTGCTACTGCTGAAGACACATTCTGTCTCTTGTAGACACAAGGTATGCTTTATGGTGGTTCAGGATGAAAGATACCTTCTTCTTCACAAAGAGAAGAGTGATTTGGGGCGGGTGGGCTGGTTCCTTCTTAGAAATTATTACACCCAATCTAAGCATAATCTTATGTTTGCTTAACCACGTGGGAAGATATAAAACTCTTCAGAGTTTTGCAAAGATTCATTGAAATGAGTCATGATCTTGAAAATGGTGTTCATGTGTTTGTTCCCAAAGCTGTGGACTCTTGCCTATGCAGGCAGCTTTCCTTCTGTTTCAGCAGACTGTGGAGGTTACAAGAGGAAGCCAGCAGACAGTGTAACCGGTTGTGCACATTCTTTGATTACTGTGCATGATTCATACATGTGTCTGTCTAAGCGTTAGAGGGAAGCCCTCAGAACTTTTTTGAAAATCATTCTAGCGCAGTGTGTACAACTAAAGACACACTTCAGCAGTTTGAAAGCTTCAAGTTTCAGTGTCCCGTATATGTGGACACTTTTGTGATGCTGTGCTTCAAACACCCATATATGCAGTTTACTGCCTTTCAGTAGAGCCTTTATGAAACATGTACATTCAGAAAATTGGAAGAATATCACAAGAATATCACGTGTAGGAGAATGAGAAGTGCGAGGAAAAGATTGCTTCGTGGGAGGAGGGAAACCCCCAAGCTTGCAGGGTGTGATGAAACAAGAAGTTGGAGAACCGATCCTTTGATGAAGTGGTGGTATTCTCATGAGTGAGGGTATTCGTGATGCTGAATTTTAACTATCTGTGAGAACACTCTTCAATTACTAGATAAGAAAAACTGGAGGAAGAGTCTCGTTAAGTGTCTAAAATTGTTTGGTGTATTAAATATATACTGTGGTGTGAAAATATGGCCAGATAATACATAACAAAACTAATAGCTGTGATGTCAAGCTGGCATCTTACATGAAAATAGTAAGAGGCGTTCCTTTGTTGGAAAACTGAAGAGCCTATGTGTTAATTACCTCAGGTCTGCGGATGATGAATAGGTTGAAAGTGAGTCTCAGGGTTAGTGCCGCCTTCACAGTCAGACTAGGTGAATTCAGCTTCTCCACTGGCTAAAGAACTCATTAACAGCTTTTAATCACTTGGTCTCTGAGCTTCAGTTTCCCACCTGTGGGGGGAAAAGGATGAGACCTTTGCTGCTTCATAGTGTTGGGAGCTGATACAGGTCTTGCTGTATCACCAGCCCCTTCTAGGTTTCTCCCTAGTCCAAAGCATTCTTGTCAAGAGAGTTGTTGGTAAATCTTGCCTTTTAATAAATCTGGAAATTAGTGTGTCTCACAAATGGAAGTACAAAGTGTAACTGACATGTAATCAGGCTCTGTGGTATAGGTGTGCTTAAATTTTTTTCTGATGCCAAGTGGTTCAGTGACTGCTTCACATAGTCTTACTGCAAAATTTGAGTACATAATGGTAATAAAATGGAGAAGTAGCTGGTAGCTAGTCTGTCAAAGATTCAGAGCTTTAATATATTTTCAGCTGAACGAATACATAGATGGCAGGAAACTTGGACTATCCTAGGAAAAGTAGCAGAAGCTCTAACCTGTCAAGCAGTCTTCTCTTGTAATTGGTCCCATCAGTTATGCCTTGGGACAAGGTCTGTGATGTTTTTAAAGAAGCCTATGTAATCGCTGTTTTGAGTCAGCTAATTTGTATTACATTGTTACAGATCTAGAAAAATCCCTAGTTGAGATTGAAGCCAAGGAACAGTTTGGGTAACTGAAGGAATGTTGAAAGAAACGTAAAGGTCTTATAAATATTAAATGGTAGGTGATTACTATGCTGCTAAGGAACTCTTGACTTTTACAGATGATTTTCGATCCCACTATGAGCAAGAAGAAGAAGAAAAAGAAGAAGCCCTTTATGTTGGATGAGGAAGGGGGGGATACACAAGCGGAAGAGACTCAGCAATCGGAAACAAAAGAAGTTGAACCAGAGCCAACAGAAGACAAAGATGTTGAAGCAGACGAGGAAGACAGCAGGAAGAAAGGTAAAGTGCATCCACGTAGATAAACTCTCAAAGGTAGTCCTTCTGTATTTTGAGACTACAAGCCCCGTTTCAAGAATTTGGCATCACAGTGTATAATGCTGGGGCCCTAGTTTGTTTAGAGGCTTGTGAGTAATACTCTGCTGCCTATTTGGCGGGCATATTTCCCTCCTGCTTGAAATCATGTTCACAGACATCCAGCAAGCTACCAGTGGCTTATGTAAAATTCCACTTTACTGACTCAGTCTTTTGTGTGAGACAATGAAAAGAGAATCCCTAAAATAGTTACAATGCAGTTTTAAGTCTTCCACATGTAGTTGTTGCAATAATTCCACAATTATGGCTGTTTTTCATTTGAACAATTAAGCAATAGTGTGAATAACAGAAATATGGTTTAAAGGGTTTCTCGTTTTTGGACAACTGTGAATGTGATAACTAGAGTGTTCTTTGGAATCTTTCCAGAAATAAGCTTGCAATTGTGTATATAACCTTGCTTTTTAAATTGAGGCCAATGTCATTTCAAGATGACCTGATTCAGGGAAGGCTGTTAACTTAAATCCAGCTTGTTGATAAAATTGGCTCCTGCAGTAGACCAAAGAAACTATACCTTCCTTTTACAGTTTTCTTTTCATTTTTTTCAAGCACCTCTACTATAATGACAAAAGTGGCTAGTTTCTCTTGTACAGCAGAAAGAAAGATTAAGCACTTAAAAAATAAAAAAATGTGGTTAGAAGATGCAGAAACTGTATAACAGTACTGAGGTATTTGGGGGTAGAGGGGAATGACCTCTTTAACACCTGAAGGATATCTGTAGAGGCTACAGGTCATTGCTTATGTCTTACTGTAATGTTTTGAAGATTTGGATGTAAATTAGAAACCTTAATGTCTAACTGTTTCTACAGTTATACTTCTTTTGTCAATCCTTTCTTTTTAGATGCAACAGATGACCTGGATGATTTAAACTTCTTCAATCAAAAGAAAAAGAAGAAAAAAACAAAAAAGATATTTGATATAGATGAAGCAGAAGAAGGTGTAAAGGTTTGTCTCATAACTAGGCCATGTTGTCTATGGCTGAAAACTTTCTTGCTTTCATTTTCTTGGGATTGGCAGTGCAGGAGTTGTTTTGAGTCCATCATTGTGTCTTAGTGCTGTTAATAATGAAACTTACATTTCACTGTGTCTTTCATATATAGTAGGTTCTGCTGAACATGTTGCTCCTGCAGGGCTTTTTGCGCAGAAGTGAAAAAATCTAACTGATCTGCACAAGCAAAAGTAATTCTGCAATCTGTTGTAAGGGTTGACTAGCATCAAGGTTAATTGTCTTTTGGGGTGAGAGAAGTAAATGGATGTCAGAAGCCACGCACAGAATAGTCCTCTAAAAGCCAGCCCTTCAAATAAAGGGTATATATCTGCTAAGAAATCTGTTTTTACTCTGGTGTTTTCTTTAGAAATGATTGGCTACTGTTCTGTGTTCCAGAAGGTGTACGAGATATTTTTACTCTTCCCAAGTTTTATTCCAAGTCATGTTTTTGTATCGCGTGTCAGTGTTAACTGGCAAGCACAGAGAGCAAGAGGACAGAGAAATGTTACGTGTAACCTCTTCTTTGGCTTCTGCCTTTTGGGGAAGAAAATGTCCCTCTGATCTGCCCCAGACAGGCAAAATGCTTGCTCTCTGTTCTCTGCACGTGCAGAACTGTGATAACAAATTGGACTGGCTGCAAGTAGCACAGCTTTGCCTTACCTTATTGTCTGGCATGTAGGGTGTTTTGTTCCCTTATGCCCTAAAATGGCTGATGCCTGTAGGTAAGTATAGCGTGACCTTGTTCTTGACCAGCCAGAAGTTAGACCAGAAGATAAAAATCTGTCTCTAGTAGATTCATGGTAGTAGTGCAGTGCTCTCTTCAACATACTTTAGTTCCGTTCTTATCTGTTATGTTTCAGGATTGTGGTAGATGTTACTAGTATTCATCTAGTATGGCGTGCTACTAGTATTATTTCTAATGCTGTGCAATGGAGATTTGTGTTTAATACTGTAAACGATAGTCTTGTTATTTATTTGCAGGACTTGAAAATTGAAGGAGATGTGCCAGAGGCAGTAGAACCTGAAGATGACCTTGATATCATGCTGGGCAATAAAAAGAAGAAAAAGAAGAATGTGAAGTTTCCAGATGAAGATGAGATAATGGAGAAGGATGAAGGTGAAAGTATAACCTAGCTCAATGAGATGTTGAAAGTGAAATGTAGTTCATGTTGTAGGTGAATAAGTTCTGTTCAAGTGCCTTTTTTTGTTTCAGAATTCATTTTGTTACCTTTACCACTATGTTATTTATCAGAAAAATGTTCTATGAAAGCATTGTATAAATTTGCCGTAAGTGCTGTTGTCCCTTGTAGGCAGACAGAGACTTGTGTCCACATCTTAGTGGAATCTTCTTTGATGTACTTTTTAGAAATGGTGTAAGCATGAGGTTAAAGAATGTTTCTTTTCTTCTTAATGAATCCCAAACAACTTTCTTTACAGCTTTTGAGGATGAAGATAGCAAAAAAGATGATGGAATTTCTTTTAGCCTTCAGTCAGGACCTGCGTGGGCAGGCTCAGAAAGGGACTACACATATGATGAGGTAATGTTCAAAAGACTTCTTAAAAATACCTTCCATGTTTATGTGCATCAGTAGAGCAGGGCCTTATGCTCATATGTCCTATTTTTAACTTAAAGGACTTGTAGTCAGACGCTCATGAACAGAAAAATAATAAAGCACATCTTTTACAACAGGTAATTTTCATATAGGGCAATATTAGTGATAGTTAAAAACACCTCTGCAAATAGGCTGAGGTACTGGTAGATTATGAAGTAAACCCTTGGGGAAACAGCTTTTATATTTTGCATTTATCAGAACATTTTTTTAAGTGTGTGTTGAAAAGCATATGGGGAAATGCTAATGGGCAAAGACAGTCTAATATTCATTGTGAATGCTGTTTCAAGTTTTTTTTAGAAGTGATGTACTTCATTTGAGAAATGCAAGATACTCATGTTAATGTGAATCCCTTTTTTTTGCAGTTGCTCAATAGAGTATTTAACATCATGCGGGAAAAAAACCCAGATATGGTAGCTGGAGAAAAACGAAAATTTGTCATGAAGCCTCCTCAGGTTGTAAGAGTAGGGACCAAGAAAACATCTTTTGTCAACTTTACAGATATCTGCAAATTGTAAGTTTCCTCTTTAGGTTTCCCAGGAATAGCAGATGAATGCACCTTTCTGTACTGTTGGCTGTTGTGCTGAATGCATGTTTTCTGGTTTGCCATAGTCTTTTGCCAGAAGTAAACTGAAAGCTATTTCAATCATACTGTTCATTTCCTCTACATTTATCTGTGAGAAGATATTTATGAAGATGATTTATTGAGATAATTTCTTATTTTATACTTAAATTATGAAAATGGTAGGCTTGCTACATGGGCCTCATGGACTGAAACTAAACCTATTGCTCTTGTGAGTTCATTGGCTTCTATCAAGTTGGTAGTTGGGTCACCAGTGATATTTATTTGCAAGTCTTGGGCAGGGGGGTGGGGAAAGTTCTTTCTAATTTGAGCTGACTACAAATACTATTCTCTTGGTAAATGGTATGGAGTTCAGTAATTTTTTTCCACTGTTTTCTGCAGTGCTTTCTGTGTCTTAATTATTTCTTGTGAAGGCAGTTCTATTCTTTGTGGGCACTTCTGGGAATGCATATCTGATTTGTTTCATAAGTGTGCCAGAAAACAGTCCTGGTGAAATCATACTGAGGATCTGGGTAGTATACTGAAGTGAGCTTTTAATGGTAGCTAGTAACACTTTTTTCAGGGAATGGCAGGGGGCTGGGAGAATAAGAATGGAAAGTCTCAAATAGAAAACTTATTTTCAGTAGTTACTGTAATTGTGAGTTTGGTTTGGGGGGGATGATGGGGTTTTTTGTGGACTGTTCAGCTTTCTTGTGTCCTCAGTCATTGTCTGCCTGTGCTCTTTGGTGCAGACCCTCTGGCACTGCCCCCTTTTAAACTTGGTAATTTAAGATCGTTTTAGCCTGCCAGTCCTGTATAAATATCAAATTTCTCTGAAGGGGGAAGGTTAAACATATCCTTACTTTATTTTTAGATTACATCGTCAGCCAAAACATCTCCTGGCATTTTTGTTGGCAGAATTGGGTACAAGGTAAGGCTACTGGGCTATGTATGTGCTTATGCAGAGGAAGCAACGGCAACATAGTTGACATTGTCTGATCAAAAATAAAATTATTGGGTTTAGGTCTGTATATATGTGCTTGAACGTCAGGCTGTTCTTCCCTGCACATAGATGCTGTGCTGGGTGATTGAAGAGATACCATCTTAGGGAAGAGGTACAGAGGCAAACTATAAGTCCCAAGGAACAGTCTGGATAAGGGTTTGAATTCCCTATTTGGGACCTTTCTCAAAGATGCTCGGATAGCAGAGCTGTTTGTCACAATTGGTGAGGATGGCTCTGTGGCCCGTATCAGCCTAAGGCAGATGATAGATAGCTAGGGAAGAGAGAATGCCTGACCGCCTAATGGCAAGTCCTGTGGGCCTGTAGCTAGTTATTCTGTCTAATGCTGTAGTTAAATCCACCTGTCTTAGCATAAAAACAGTGTTGATTTTATATGCCTCTTATCAAAGATCTCATGCTGTGGTGGTGTACTTTCTGGTTGTCTATTCATTTCTCTGTTGTAGACTACAATGTTGTTACATGTAGACATAGAAAATCAAGGAGTCTAATCGCAACGTGTATATAACAAATGCCCATTTGTTTGAGCTTTGGAATCTTCAGCTCCAGACATCTTAAACAAAAACTTAGAAACCACAATGTGAAAAAACATTCAACTTACTACATCAGAATGGCTAGAAGAGGATCTTATTAGTCATATTACACCTTACTGGGGAGTTGTCTTGCTCACTTCTGTGAGATAAGCAGGTGTTAATTCTCAATTCTGTAAAGTTCTTCTGATTGGGTAGCTTAACTATGAGGCTGATCTCTGGTGGAGTTTGCTTTTACTGCAGTGAGGGTTATGCTTGGGCAAAACTTCCTGTAGGTTTTTAAGTGCCTTCAGAATTTTGCATTTTTTTTCCCACAAAGTAATTCTGGCTTACTCTTGTCTTGAAGAATGCATCATCATCTTGCTTCATGTTCCTGACTTGTTTTAACGCTTGACGTCTTCTGCAAATCAAATAATTAATTTTTTTCTTAAATTAGTGGCTCAATAGATGGTAACAACCAACTTGTAATCAAAGGAAGATTCCAGCAAAAACAGATAGAAAATGTCTTGAGAAGATATATCAGTAAGTATAACTCCCTCTTCCACTATAGATTTCTCTCAGACCCGTTTTGATGACCAGTGGCCCATGTATGGCCCACATGTGTGTGCATGCTGTGGAGACTCTGTGCTAATGCTGCAACTTTATAATGGAATAATGCAGGTACAGGTGGTTCTACCATGGTTATAATAAGCACATAGGTCGTACTCTGTCCCGGCACTAAAACATACCAAGGAAAACAGTAAGAGCATTTGAGAATTGCTTGTTTTCATCTGACTTTCATTTCTTGGCTTTGGTGAGGACTATGGAAAATAACAGTAATTGTTAATTTTAAAGTCTGTACACGCTAATTAACAAATACAATGTGCATGTCACTGACTGCTGGTCAGAGGACTCACAGATTATATGTAACAAAAAATACTGCTTTAGTGCTGTGTCTGTACAAGAGTTGCTGACATCTGGGAATGCTGTTTCAGCAGAGGAAGTTATGAAACACCAGTGGGAAGTCTTAACTGGTTGCTATTATTTTTAAAACACCAGTGTCAGTGCGTAATGTATCGTATGAAACCTAGTCTTTATTAACCTGGGAACTAGGGGGAATTTTTAGGTTGCCTCAACCTCTGTGGTTTTCATAGTAAGCCACTTCTAAGTTAGTAGATGCATTTGAACAGCCTTTCAAGACAACTGTTAAACTAAAGGCTGAAGAAGTGGTGACTTGTTCACTGATAATGCATTATCTTTTAACTGCAACTTAATTCCTTTTCTGCAGAGGAGTATGTCACCTGTCATACGTGTCGGTCACCAGACACAATCCTACAGAAGGACACCAGATTATATTTCTTGCAGTGTGAGACCTGCCACTCTCGCTGCTCCGTCGCCAGCATCAAAACTGGTTTCCAGGCTGTCACAGGCAAGAGAGCACAGCTCCGTGCCAAAGCTAACTAGTTTGCTAATCAACACTGGATTTTGCAAAGTGTTCTGGGGAGATATGACTGGACAGGTTTACAATCTGAATGGATTTACCATTGTATTAAAACAAGATTGTAAAAACTACAAGAAATTTGGCTTTTGATTGGTCTGTGAAATCCTTGCAAGATGCAGATCCTCAAGCTGTTCACATGCGTTTGCTCATTGAATATGTTTTACCAACTGTAAGGAACATGATGGGAAAGGAGGTGCTTTTTAATCCGTTCAGACTTCTGTAAAACACAAGATAAATTAAAGATACTATAACAGTGAGTGTCTTCGATTTGGATTTTTCCTTCAGTTTCCTCTTTAAACAGCTCATGGGAATGGTTGGCGTGTTGTTCTGCAGATCATGTCACTGAACTATGTCCAAGACCCAGAATAAAGTTTAAGATAAAGGTTATTTTGCTTTTACATAAGCTTATTTTTAGTTAGGCTATCATTAAACAGAGAAACCAGTCACAAAAAGTCACAGGGACGATATACCAACATGAGAACTGCTCATGCTTTTATAGCCACATTAATATGGGAATGCATTTTGCACAGAAAGTGACATCAGGACATGTTGATACTGCTTAATTAGGCAGGATGTAGCTCTGACATAGTTCAGACACCATATTGATGCTGAATCTTAACATAGAATTGATAAACGTACTGTAAGCTTTCCTAGTGTCATAGTACTAAATTTTGCAATTTCTAATAGAGAAATGTTTATATTTCTTAAGTCCTGCACTCTTCACCACTTTAAAAAGAATCTAACTAAATGCAGCAAAAAAAAAAAAAGGATATAGGTAACATCATTATATGATGGCTGCAACACACTGTCTTCTATGAATCTTGAATTTACAGAAGATACTGCCAAGTAGTTTGAGTTCCAAATGAACACATTATACTTCTTGATCATAACATGCACTTCTCTCTGCTAGTGGTCAGTGTCAGTAATCTCTAGGGGACATGCATAGTGCTGTCCTAACTAGTTTTTATAGTGCTGTAGAAATTCTGTTACAGCTGCCAAGTACAAAGACGCAAATGGGGAGTGAAGTCCCTCTTGAGCACCGTAAGGGGGGACAGTTTTCATTTAATCACCAAAATCGCACAGGGTCAGGATAAGGTGTAGTAGCTCAGGACCCCGGGCGCCCATCCCTGCAGGTAGGCAGAGTAGCCTCCTCCCCAGAGAAAATGGTGGTCATTCTGAATGCAATTCGTCAAATATCAAACTGAAGGGTTTCTACCAAGTTTTAATCTTTGTATGTATGTTAATACAGAACACAGTCTTGCTGGGAAGTCACTTACTTGCTATTTGAATACTTGACAGCACTGTAAGGCAAAAATCAAGGTTTTATGGTTGGTTTCTTAAAAGCATTTTGAATTTCAAGTGAGCTATAACAAATGTTGGCTGTATCTTTAAGTGAATAAAGCCAGGATCAGTGCCTCTTGTAACATTATTGTTGTATTCTTGTTTTTTCTCTAGCAAATAGGCATTCTCCTGTTGGAAGAAAAACTTTTTGGAGAAGTGCTAGTTGCCTTTTTGTTTCGGTGACTTGCTGTTGGGACACACTGAAATAGCTGAAGAACAATGATACTTTCTGTTTTTAAATGCTTGCTTTTTCCTGGGTCAAATACTTTTAACATACTTTTTTAAAAAAATACAGTATGGCCTTGAGCTGGTGCTATATTTTAGTGCATTAAATACAAAGTTTGACTTCAGTATATTTGGATCAAAAAGATCAGGTTAATAAAGGAATAAATAATTGTTCAAACCCATCATCTGTGAGCTCTTCTGGCTCACAGGAGAGCTTTATAGGTGTATTTTATAGATGTATTTTGAGTCTGTGCATGAAATCCTGAAGACATTGGTTTTGATGGCTAATATTTGAGTGAAACATCTTGAGCTGTAGACTCTAATTTACCTGTGGAATAACCTCACTGATGCATGAAAAGTCTTCCGTGTCTAGGAGCAGATATTAGTTGAATTTTATTTTTTTTTTTTAAACACCTTCCAGTCTACATTCAAAGAGGAGTATAGTCTACCACAAGTGTTGTATGAACATAAATGTCTCCTGCTGCTTGTAAGGCTGATGTAAGTGTAAAGTGCAGTCGTGTGTTCAGAGGCAAAAAAGAGTTTTGTACTTAAGCTGAATGTAAATAAGCATCTTAAGGACGGAGTTTTTAACAGGATAAGGTGGTAGCTTTGTTTGCCTTGGGTCTGCATGCAGGCGTGTATTTGGAGGCAGACCCATCTGCGTTTCTCCATGCTTTTTTCTCTGTGAGCTGAGAATTGGCTGTATGGTGCTGACGGAGATGTGGGAGCTAGATTGTTTTAGGTACTGAAAGACTGTAGAGGAGAATGGAATCTCAGTTTGAATGAGTTGGGGAGGAGCCTGGGAGCTAACGAAGAGCACAGTGATGCAGCTGGGTTGCTCCTCTCCATGGCTCCTGCTGTGCCCAGAGTTCTCTTACACCTTACCTGAGTAATCTAAGCTGTTGCAGGTCTGTTCCTTTCCAGCAGTAAAGATGCAACACGCCTTTCAGCCCAGAACATGCAAAAGAAAATCTGAGACTTGTCACTGGAGGTCCTAGGGGAACTGTACAGAAGAAGTCGTGTTGCTGTCAGTCAGCCTGAAATTTACTGATATCCTTGTAAGAAGAATAACCCGCTCTTGCCAGGTAAATGCTTTTATCTCCCTTGCGTAGTTGGGGGGTTGGAACTCAAAGGGTTAGGTGACCTTGCTCGGGTCACCAGAGTAACCCGTAAAATGAAAACAGATCGAGTTCCCTGGTTCAGTATAGATGTAGTGGGATGAGCTGCCTTCAAGGTGGTGTCATTCTGTTCTGCTGAAATAACTGTTTACTATTACAAAAATAAGTGAGATTAAACTCCTTTCATGGACGCTTCTGGCCAGAGCAAGGATTTAATCAAAGCAGTAGTATTTTTGTAACCACAAATGCTGTAATGAAGGAGAAGCATTTATAAAAAGTTTCCACTGAGTGGGGGATTTCTGGTTAGTACTGTGCATGGGTCATCATGCATTGTGTCCTCCAGACGTGTACACCACACCCTACTTCTTTCCCTGCTTGACAGGGAAACTTGGTCACCTAAGATTGTAAGCAAGGAGAAGAAAAAGCAGACTTTCAAAGCTGCTGCTGCTGAAAACAGGACAAGGTTTGTCACAAATTGGATGGGATGTTGGGCTGTAGTCAGGCAAAAGTGCACATGATGGTATCTAGTGGAAGAGGTACAGAAATAGTAACAGCAGGAAAGCTCTGAAAGTCAAGAGAATATGAAGTTGAGTGTGATGCTGACGGCTAAGATTCACTAGAACTTACCTGTTAATGTTTTAAATAACATTTCTCTAGCATCCTGTTCTGCTCCTCTGCTCAGTTTTTTGCTAGAGGTTTATTCCAGATCACCAGACTAATAGAAGTGTATCCAAGCAAGTGGGAGGCCAAGCTTTGAGAAAGAATCGAAGGCAGATGTTTAACAGAAAACAGAAGCTGCACGAGAATTACCAGTTCAGCTTCAGCCTGTATGGACAACAAACTGCAAAGCCACACCAGCTTCCAAAATAATCGCTTGCTTTTCTATTTTTAAATTGTTTTTGCCATAGTAAAGGTTAGTCCCATGTTGCCTGAGTAGCAGAATATAATTTTCTGTAGCTTTCCGTCTGACAGGTGGTTGCCCTCGCAGCATGTGGGTTTGCACCCTGGCTGCTCCAGTGCAAGCTCTTCCCTGAGCAACCTGTTTCTGGCCCCTGCCAGAGGCAGGACGTCAGTCTGGACGGACTGTGCTGTAACCCTGGATGGTAAGTCTGGGTTCACTTACCTTGCTTGTGAGCTGTCCTGTTAACTGTTGTGTTTTTCCAGCCACTAAGCTCACTTTTCCCTAGAAATGTGAAGGACTCAAATGATGGGAAAATGGGCAGTTCGGTGTCCCTGGAGGAAAATGGCCAGAAACACCCAGGTTAGAGATAGCGGTCAGGAATCAGGACAAGCCTGACCTGATGAAAGCCTCTCTCGGACTTTTCCAGCAGTGCAAAGGGGGCCTACAGCTGAAGTCTGCAGATGTTTGGATTCCCACAATGTTTGTGGGGATTGGCCAGGGTCAGGCTGGACCTATATGGCTCTACCTTGCATACTGCTTTCTGCATGTATAGGGGCATTTTGGCAGTTAACCTAAATCACAGCTTGTTCTAGTCCCAGGTGTGTGTTAACCTTGGGAAAACTCTTCTCAAATGGCTCTAATTTGGGCTAATAGCTAAAAGGATTTTGCATAAGCAGTAAAATCCTATGGCAGAGAAGGGAGCGCAACTCCATGTGTCCTTTCCTTCAGTACGCCTTTGACTGCAGAGAGCTGATGGAGAAGAAAGGTTGCTCTGATCTTGATCAGTTGCTTAAATGATCTCATGACAGGAGGAGGAAAAAGGCTTTTGAAGGAAGATATTACTTGGAAATTGTGGAATCCTAAAGAGAAACAGGTTCCAGGGCTCCTGCTGATCTTTAGCAAGTGCTATCTCACCTGTAAAAGCCTTTGGCTTGGAGGGACCTCATCTGGCTCCAGTCCCTTGGCTAAGAAATCCATTTTTTCCAGCTCTTTCTATAGTCAATAATGAAGACAGGGAAGTGCCTCCAGAGGAGATTCGGCCAGTCTCATTTTTTAGAAAGAGCCTAGGGAGACTTTGCTTTTACTGTAGGTGCTTCACCATAGATGAATATAGATAAGATATACATACATACATACACTATACATTCTTAAATATTCTGTATATAAGAATATGGCTGAACCTGTGCTGTTAGTCTCTGTCACAAGCCCAAGGGAGGAACCATACTTCTTTATACAAAAGTAGAAATTTAAGCTGGCCCTGGAAACATGTTGCTGCCTGATAGACATGAGGAATTGGCTTTTCCTTGCAGGAAGAAAAATACTTTCTCGCTTCCCTTCTGCTTGTCACTATAACGCCAGGCTCGTTCCTTGCTGTGTAAGCTTGCAGTTCATCCTTTTTCCTTTTTGCATATTGCAAACAACTGCATATTTCTGAAATAAAGCAGTCATAACTTTACATCTGTGTTATTAATCGTTTTTCTGCTGAATACCCAGCAGAAATGTGTGGATACCTCCCTCTTCAGCCCGTTGCATCTTCCATAGCGGGTCTCTGGGCTCAGAGAGACTTTGGGTTTTCTAACACAGAAGCAGCTTCCTTAATTCTATGTTCTGTATTAAAGCAAATTGGTTTTAAAACCTTTGTTTCTTCCCCCAGCCTTGCTTGCTGCTTTGGGTAATTATCCCATAGGTTTTGTGTATTTCTTTCTACCATGTGGAAACACTTCACTTGGAGTGGAGCGGGACCATATGACTTTGATTGCAAACCATGCTTGTGCCCAAATTATTACCAGTGTTAGGTCACACAGCTGGATCTTGGTGCTTCTAATGTGGTCTTACACACATTCTCTGATAATATTCATTTTCATTAAAAAAGGAAAAGAAAAGGGAGTTTTATTGCCTTTGTTGCAGGGAGAAAAGCTGGATGTGATTCATTTTGAAAACAAGGCACAAAAGGCAAGTAAAAAATAAATTTTTGGTTCTTTTTAGTTTTGCAGACTGAAATGCCTGTACTGCTCGTGGTCCTCAGAGCCTGCTGCAGGCCTTGTGCTATGTTTTTGTTCAGCACCAAAATAGCCTTTTTTCCACCATGAACATGAAAAAATAAGTTCTGGGAAACAAGCTTCATTTCAGATGAGCTCATAAAATATTTTTCTTCCCTCCATTGTTCCATGCTTTCTGACATCCTCAAACAATGGGTTGCTTTCCTATGAGTCCTAGCGAGAAGGGAGGATTGCATTTCTTTCTTTTTTTCTTCTGACAGAGCTGTGCAAAGATCTCTTAGGTTCTCTTGAAGTGGTTATTTAGGTTTGAGGCTGTGGTTGCCATTGAGGTTTCCCTGTTAGTGAGAGGCTGCTTGGGGCTGGCCGTGTGGTCTCAAATTTTTTTGTACATGACAGTTTGTTTTTAATTCTAGACCTACTCCACTTTCTCAAATTCATTTAAGCTGTGTGCTGAAGCACATTGTTTCCCACTACACTTTGTTCTGGATGAGGGTGGTGGCCGTTAAATCCTGCCCCCGACCAAGAACATACTTGGGCGTGAGGAATGAGGAGCGTGCTGGGGCTGGAGCCCCATCTGCGCTTCATGGAGATGCTGTGGGCAGAGAGGTGTCTTCCGAGCTGGCCAAAATCGGGAGACAGGATGCTCTGACGTGTGGATATGAAGGGGATCTTCTGAGCAGTAAGGAGGGGGCCAAGCTGGAGCACAGGGTGAAAATCAGGAGTGGATGTCCTAGCTGTGCTGTCCCCCTCTCCCCAAGTGGCTCAGGATCACCCAGCAGAAGGAAACTCCAAGCAAACATGGGGAGTGTTTGCACCGTTGTGGCTCTGAGCCCCTCCTG